ATTTAAGATTTTTAAACTCAAATGACAATTTTTTATTGCAAAAATAACAATCATCATAACTGAACCAAAAAGCTAGACTTAGCGTCTTTATGACTTTTAAAAACATCCTAATTGTAAAACATTAAAAGCAAGCCACATTATACAAATAACTTTTTAACCCTCTTTTTAAGGCCTTTCTAATTTTAATGTTAACACATCCAAGGGGAAGTTTTAGCAATACTAATCAGATCATCACATCACTCATTTTAACCATCATGTTTTTAGTGTCTATCTGCAGGGAAAAGAGACAGAACAAAGCTGGGCCACTCAGCCGCTTCTATGGAATGGGCACGCACCCAATCTGACTCTTTAGGGTTAGATGAACTGCGTTTGTGCCAGCTTGCCCTCTTTCACCATGCATGGACTCCTCCCAGGGCCTGTCCCACCATGCATGACCCGCTGAACTGCACTTCTGCTTGTTCACCCCTTATCCCTAAAGATAGGTCTTCTGTTCGTTTCTAAGTTTTTCCCCCTGTCTCTTCTCTTGGCTCTTGAATGAAATACACAGTTGTAAACAAAACAGGTACTGTCTTTGACAGTGTTAAACTAACCTTTACATTTAAATTTTTAATATTTATTTCCAAATTTTAGCCAAGGGAACTAGATCCCAAACAGCCAATGTATTTTTGTTAAGGCAGATAACTTGATTACAGCATAAACAGTCTTATGTATTTTAAAATATTAGTTTTTTAAAATACCAGATTTTTTAAATTAGAAAGTTAAAGAATCTTTAAAAAGCCATTTAAAACAATGTGAAGATTTTTTTTTAATTTTTGGTAATGTCCAAACCTCATAACCTTTTGAATTTTAAATTTAAATTCACCCAATTGTTACAGCATGCTGACAATTCTTATCTTTGAACATGTTCACAGACACACACAAAACACTCACACAGATCTTAAAGCACGCAAAAATCAAAATCAGTCGTACGTACACCTTTTAAAGTTTTTAAACAAAAATTTAAGACAGTATTTTTTTTTAAACTAGGTACCTTTGTTGGGCTTTATTTTCCCAGAGCTTGCTTATCTAGCAAGGCAATTTACTAATTAGTCTTTTGAATCCCTTTTGTTGGAGGAGAGCTGGGGGAGGGGGTCACCTAAAACTAAACTGGCCTGATTTTTTAAATCCAAATTTTAGCCAAGAGCACTTTACAAATTGTTACATTGTCAGGACTAGCTGAAAAAGTCTAAACTAGGCACACAGCCTTCTACACCCTCCCTGCTGGCAGCCTGCACAAAGAGAAAATACAGCCTGAGGCTTGAAGGGAACCAAACTAGCCCAGTAACCTTCCATGCCTCACAGGGAGGGTGGGCATAGCAGGTTTGTGACCGAGCCCAGCTGGAACTTTTATTCCCCCAGAGATGTTTAAATAAATAAATAACAAAAACACAGATAAACACAAAAACCAAGGATCCACATTTAAAACTGGTACCAATTCTAAAACAGAACTAGACAAAAACTGAAGGCTGAGTTGGGGACTAATGGGCCCCAGTTTATCCCTACCGGAACTCTGTGCTGCTCCCACTCAGCAAGCTGAATCCAGAGTCTGCTGAGTGAGCCTGCCACACTCACCCAGAACTTCCCTACCCCAGAAAACATAAAACAAACACACTAAAGTAAACAAGACAAACAAGTGGCCACAAAGACAAAATCAGGTCTCAGTGAATGGGGCGACATCTCACCACCATTCACTTACCAGGGGACTCAACCCCCCTAACTCACCTCCAGAGGATTTTTTTTTTCTTTTAGATTCCTGCAGACGTTGACCCAGGGGCCTTCCAAGGCGGAGGAGAATTCCCAGTCATCTTGGGGCAAGGGACAAAAGTCCCTAGCGGCCGTCCCCTCAGACTGACAGGTTCTCCCCCACGCTCAGACCCCCTGAACCAAGGCCCAAGGCTGAGATCTAACTGGGGCACTCGCAGGTGGCCAGTGGCAATTTCATAATTGACAAACAAGCAAGTTCCCAAAACCTGACAATCTGGGCTCGGGCTGTAACTTCCAGAGATCTAAAGTCAGACTTAAGGGCGTTGTTAGTTGTTGCCCCATCCCTTTAAGGACAACAAAACAAGCAACAGAGACAATTAACACTAAACAGAAACAGACGAAACCAGACAGGTGCTGCGCGGCAGTCGAATGACTGCAAACAGAAAAAGCAACTTCAGATGGGAGTGGCCGACCACGGCTAAACTCCCGGGAAGGAGAGAAATTTTACTTTCGCCCCTTCCTCCAGTTCCCGGGAAGGAGAGAGATTCCACATTCCCTCCTTCTTCCAGGTCACGGGAAGGAGAGAGATTCCACGTTCCCTCCTTCTTCCAGGTCACGGGAAGGAGAGAGATTCCACGTTCCCTCCTTGCTCCAACACTCAGGGCACGTCTGCCCGAGCTGGGCCAGGGGTTTCAAGGCACGTCTGCCTCCCCCACTGGCCTCAATACAGGTCCTGTACAGGCACTTTCCTTCGGATCCCAGAATGAAGAAAGCAGAACAGAGATAACAAACACGGAAGATGCGAAACGCAAGAGCTCTATCTTACCTCCAACTGGTCTTGGAATTTGGGTCTGGGGGCGCCGTGATCCCGGATGAGCCCCCAACTGAAAGACCCCAGACTTCTGGGATACTTTTGTCTGCGGGAAGGCGCCCTAGAAACCAAGACTCCAAACCAGCAGATGCAACAAGCAAGAGGAATTTATTCAGCGTTTGTGCAAAAACCACAGGATTAGCATAAGACACCAGGTGCTCCGGGATTGGCCCAATTTAAAAATCACCATGTACTCCAGCAATCATTTTGCTACATGGGAAATTTTGTAACACTCGTCGTAAACTGGTTGGCTCAGGGCGGATCTAGGGGGAGTGGTCACCCTGGAGGGGAGTTCACATAGTTACAGGCTTGTGATGGGTTGACCTTTGACCTAGCTTGCTGGACTGGCCAGATGGTCCTTATCTTGGGTCCCATTTGGGGAATTTCCAGACAGGAACTTAGAAGAACATACTCGTTTGTTCTTTATCTACAACTACAGACCTTGTCCCAGGGCCGGCGTCTGGACTCTGAAACTTTTTACTTATTTTCAGGGAGGGGAAGGGTCAGTGCTAGCGCAAGCAAGTTTACAGAAGCAAAATCAGCAGTTAGCAATTGTAAAATGTAACTCTAATTTTTAATCTTTCACACACATACAGGAAAGACGTATTAGTCTGTGGGCAGCACTGGAGCTAGGGATCTAAGCATCCGTATCTCCCAAGACCTGTCTCCCTCTGCCTTTTTCCGTAGGAGAATGTGTAGGGCCTGCCATCAGAGATCTAACAGGAGAGTTCTTGTGAAACCCTATGAAGAGTGTCAGGGGTAGAGCATAGGAACCACCAGACAGCATCCCAGGGCTGAGGTTCAGAGGTGACACTCTCCACCCAGGGCTGAGGTTCAGAGGTGACACTCTCCACCCAGGGCTGAGGTTCAGAGGTGACACTCTCCACCCAGGGCTGAGGGGTTATGGGTAACACTCTCCACCCAGGAGCTCAGGGGATTATGGGTAACACTCTCCACCCAGGAACTGAGGGGATTATGGGTAACACTCTCCACATAGGAGCTGAGGGGATTATGGGAAACACTTCCCCCTGGTGACCACACACTCTGTCTTCCGTATCTAACCACAGACCAACAATCCTGCCCCGTTGTGCACTGTTGGGGGAAGGTGTACCCAGCAGCATATGGCTCAGAGTCCGCACACTGATCCACATGCAGCCACCCTCTGCCCCCTCCCTGGACCTTCCCCAGCCCCAGCACAGACCCGCGACACCTGTATCTGCAGTGGCTGCCTCGGCTCAGAATCTTCAGCATGGGGCTCAACCGATGGCTGCGGGCATTTCACAGGATGGGTGGTGAGCGGGCTCCAAGCACAGTAACCACGCAAGACCCTTGCACCAGCGCAGAGAGAGGTGGCCCGCAAAGGCGCCCCAGGAATGGGGAAGGGACCCTAGGTAGAGTGCTCAAACCCTTGATCCATCTCTTGGTTAGGGTCCTGCAGTTAGCCTTCCCTGTCATTGGCCCAGCCCCACGGTGTGGGCAGGGCGGAGGCATACCCCTGCTGCGCCCTCCTCCATTTGCAGGGCTTTGGTTGCAGGCCAAGGGAGCTATGTGATGCACAGGACATGACCTAGCACAGGAGCATCCTGCACTGGTGGCTCACCTGTCACCTTACCCACTGACGGCCTCTGCACAGGTGTGGGAGAGAGGCAGGCTGTGTATGGGGTCAGTGACATGGAGGACGGTGTGACCACGTGTCCAGAACCAGGCCCTGGCAGCAAACAGCCCCCACCTACCTTCCTCTTGGCCTTCTCTGGGTTGGGAATGAAAAAAGACTCCCACAGAACCAATTTCTCAAAATTCAGGGGCTTACATTCTGACAGCCGAGGAGGAAGACAGCACTCGACTCGTGAGGGACAGGACACACAGCAACATGTACAGATGTGGCCTGGGCCACACCCTCCCATGTTCGGGAACACAGGCCACCAAACCGCAGGGCGGCAGGGATCAAAGGCCAGCATTCCAAAGCATCATCCTAAAATACCCAGATGCCTCCACCCTAGAACCACAGGCTGCCCTGGAGCCCAGGAAAGGCGACAGTTGGGGGCAGCAAATACAGAGCAGAGGGTTGGTTAAAGTATTTGGCTGTGGTCTCTCTCCCCCTCCTCCCCACCATTGCAGCCATGAAGGAGACTCGAGGTACTTCTGGAACCAGGAATATTTAATGGTGAACAGAGGGTAAGCCTGGTGAGTAGGAAGAAAGGGGCAGAGTTAGGTACCAGGGAAGGAGAGCAGGGTCTAAACGGGTAGGCAGTGGATGCTGTGGTTGGACAAGGGGGCCCTGTGGTCACAGGGAGGAGGGAATCAAGGCTGTATGGTAGGGTCCAGGGAGCTGGTGCTGAGCCCCTGGGGTCAGCGTCCTCAAGTAGGACAGGAGAGGCTCATCCTGTCAGTCATAGTCTCCATCGTCGAACTTGGTGCTGAAGAAGGCTGCAGAGTCCTTGGCCAGCTGGGACAGGTGTAGGGCGCCGGTCACCACCAGCCCCAGGAGCAGAAGAGGGGGCACCAGGGACCACATGGCAGCCAGGATGTTGTAGCATTTGGCTTTGGAGCCGTAGCGCTGTGCAGCCTCCAGGTCCCCCGCCACCTTCTGGTCTCGGGCCTGCGAGCAGCAGTGGGACCAGATGTTCACACGCCCACCGCGTCTGAGGAGGCAGGACCCCCCCAGCACACGAGAGATCCCGACTGCACCAGAGCCTGGACGGCCCTGTGAGCGCCTCTTCCACTGTCTCCAGCCACACAAAGTCCTGGATGGTGCCTGGAGGCGAGCAGCCGCTGGCCCACAGGGCGGCTGCAGGGTGCTGTGCCTCGGGCCTGGCAGTGCACTCGCGGCCATCCCGGTTTAGCATAAGGCCCAGCCCTCTGTGGGGGGGAGCCCTCTGGGGAGAGGACCCCAGCCCTCTGTGGGGGGAGCCCTCTGGGGAGAGGACCCCAGCCCTCTGTGGGGGGGAGCCCTCTGGGGAGAGGACCCCAGCCCTCTGTGGGGGGAGCCCTCTGGGGAGAGACCCCAGCCCTCTGTGGGGGGAGCCCTCTGCCCTCTGGGGAGAGGACCCCAGCCCTCTGTGGGGGGAGCCCTCTGGGGAGAGGACCCCAGCCCTCTGTGGGGGGAGCCCTCTGGGGAGAGGACCCCAGCCCTCTGTGGGGGGGAGCCCTCTGGGGAGAGGACCCCAGCCCTCTGTGGGGGGAGCCCTCTGGGGAGAGGACCCCAGCCCTCTGTGGGGGGGAGCCCTCTGGGGAGAGGACCCCAGCCCTCTGTGGGGGGGAGCCCTCTGGGGAGAGGACCCCAGCCCTCTGTGGGGGGGAGCCCTCTGGGGAGAGGACCCCAGCTCCACTCAGGACCAGAAGCCCAGGTGTGTGAAGAAGGCCCCGTGAGCAGACACTGTGGACTCCACCCTCTGACATTACACACACACCCTACAAGCACACCTCTTCATGCTCAGGCCTTTCTGTTCTATGAACAAACCTCGTGGCCTCCAGTTTTGTGAGGAACCCTGTCTCTGGCCCCAGGGAGCCCCCCACGACCCTCACCCACCTTGACAGAGTGCACAAGTGCCAGGAAGCCAAGACAGCACAGGTTCAGGTAGAGTGTGCTGAAGACTGACCAGATCAGATGGTCTCGAGGTGGGGGACAGGACGCTGCCAGCGAGAGGCCCACGTGGGCAGCACCATCAGCCTTGCGGGAAGCGGGGGGCCGGGGGTCCTCACGAGGGTATGCTGTGTCCATGGGTTCCAGTGCCGTCTCTTCCTCACTCAAACTCCCAGTCCAGGGGAGGCATCCGGCCTGCTTATAGCCTCACAGCCTCCTTCCCTGGCAGGCCAGCTCCGCCTGCTATATATAACACAAATTACAGCCTGGAGCGAGCGGACCAATGCGGCCCGCCCTCAAAAACCAGTGTCTCCCACCCCTCCCTGGGGAGACCCCATCAAAAGAAGCCGTGGCCCATGCGCGGCGGCCTCAGACCACCCACTAAAGCCCCCTGACCTGGCCAGGGGACCCCCCACACATAGAAGGCTGATGGCTGAGGACTTCTCCCAGATCAGCCTCAGTTTGTGAGTGGGCAAACAGGTGTAGTACCTGGCAGAGCAGCCTCAAACTGGGAGGCAGGAAGAGGGAGAGGCTGGGGGTCACCATACCCTCCAATGCACATCCCAGTGAAGAAGGGGTGCGTGTGAGAGCCCCCAAAAGCCAAGCTGTGAGACCCGGAAGGGTTGGGAAGTGTGTGGAACTCTCAGAACACCGAGAGTTTCCTGGGAAGGTCGGATCAGTCCTGGCTGGATGGGAATTCAGAGTTCTATCCTGGGTATAGGCTAATCTCATACCAAGCTTTCTGAGAACTTTGGGATAGACAAAAAGCTATGTGAATTGTAAGCCATTTGCTGCTTACACTTTCTTCTTAAGATAAAAAAGCTATTTATCACTTGAATAAGATTATACCGCGTGACCCTGCCTGTGACTCCAGGGATACTGTGATCTCATTTTCTGCACGTGTGCCCCTCTACCCTACTCAGTAAGTCCTGTAAACTGGGTGCAGGCCGCCTGAAGCTGGCAGCGGCTTCAGTCCCCTGGCTCCCCAAACCTCAGTTCCATGGTCCGGGATCTGTTAATGCCTTAGCCCCAGTTGCATGGGCTGTGACAGACGCTGGGTCTAACTAGCACCATCTTGGCTACAGGGTGGATAAGGAATTGGATTTAACAGGTGCCATCTTGTCTTTATGGTGGAGAAAGGGGAAGCCCCACCTCCCAGGGTGTGGGGATGTGTGGTAATCCACCGTGACCAGGTAGTATCGGAGACGGGAACTGGCTGTGGACTGTGGTGTGGGGGACCCCAGGGGAGCTGAAGTGTTCCACCAGCTTCAGATACTGGAGGTCCCGCTAACAAGTCTATTTATTGAGTTTAGTACAGGGGAGTATGTGAAGGAAGTATGGTACCATATCTTTGCAGATACAAACATCAACATGTGACTTGATTTTGTGTACAAGTGATAACTGACTTCCTTATCTTAGGAAGTGGCAGTTTTCACAAGCTTTTATCTGACATCAGGCTCCCAGACAGCTCACATTTCAGGTAAAAATCTGAATCTCTGCTAAGCCAGGATTGTTTGATCTTTCCAGGGCAACCTCCGGCATTCTGAGAGTCTTGTCAGAGAATGGCATTCCCATTCTCTTTCCCTGTCAGACCTCACAGTTCGGTTTCTAGATTCCCACGGTGTGCCTGAATTCCTGGAGGCAGGTGAGGGACTTGGACAATAGGTTACTGGACCTGTCAGTCCTGTGCCTTGAACTTGGGAGACTCCTGGGTTTCCTGTGACCCTGCCCCCTGCCCCTGCCCCTCGTTAGGCCCAAACCAGCTCAGCCAGCAGGACGCCATGCTTCATGCTCACGAGCTTCCGTGTCTCCTGGCTCTCCTCAGTCAGCATGGCGTCCCCCTTCAGCTCTCCGCTGGGGTGGATCTGGGTTGTTGGCATTGTTTTTCTGCTCTTACTTTTCTCTCCTGCTCTCATGGCTCAGTTTTTTAACAGTGTTAAGTGTATTTGAGGGGCTGTAGGCCTTTGTGACAGGCGTCTACCTGCATTTGCCAGCTCTCCACTAAAGACTCCCAATTCAACCTCTCCCAACGTAGCTTCTCTGTTTCTCACAATCAAGTTACCTTATGACATTTGGAGGCCAGCAGGATCCCAGTGCCAAGGAGAGCATCTGGGCTCCTTGAGTCACAGGCAAATGGCCTCAGGGATCCAGGCTGCCAGAGTACAGGAGACTCTGTAGGGCAAACACCGCTTGATCTTCCACCACTTCAACAGACAGGCTCATGGACACCAGACATGCCAGTAACTCTTTTTGGAGTTTGGAGTCACTCAGGAGACCTCCAGAGTAAGTGTCTGTCTGTTGTCTGTTAGTATGTTTTTCCTTATTCTGGGGATTGATCTGTCTGAAAATGGAGAGGTAAGGGAAGCATACATGCTCAAGACCCACCCTCTGTCCCCCCCCCATGCTGATGAGGTGGGGTGCTGGTTTGTTGAGTAGGAAGGACCCACTCTCATACTACACTGTAGAGAGTTCTGGTTAGGCCTGAGCCAAGGGCCCACTAAGCCCCAACTCAGCCTTCGGTTTTGTCTGACTTGGTAATATGGATTCTTGCTTTCTGTGTCTTGGCTCTTCATTTAGCCATATAGCATCTGGCTAAAGCTGCAGCCTGCTCAGCATCACAGTTGGATGTTGGAGGTAGAGTATGGGAGGCCTCAGTCCTGGTTCTTAGAATTGGAATTGTACAGTGCTCTTGTTTAAAATTGTATTTAAAAAAAAAATAGTCAGCCAACCAGGTAGGCTAAGAGATTAGCTTCAGGTAACCCCTCCCTTCCTCCATCTGAAGATATTCAAAGGTCCATTGGTATGCTAACATACCTTGCTAACACAAGCAAGCCCTGGAAAAATGGGGCTGGGGGATGGTAAGGTGATTTGGTAATTTGTTAGCAAAGTTTTGTTTTAAATCTTGGTCATCTGTAAGAGATTCTACTTGTTCTTGGCAAAAAAAAAAAAAAATCCCTTGCCACTGAAATTCCAGAAAATGTACAGCCCATATCCATTTTGTGCACTATAAGATTTTTGTGCAAAAATGTGTGTGTGAACATGTTCAAGAAAATCTGGTATGCATGTAGCTGTTAGCACTGTAATCAAGAGCTATCTGGCTTAGCAAAATTTAAATATCTTGAAGACTAAGATTTATTTCCCTCCACTGTTAAAATTTGGGGATAAGTATCAGATATTTGAGTATGAAGGTTTGTTTATCACTGTAAAAGACATTGTCATTTTGTTTGTCTAGAACTGTTTTGGATTTTATCTCAGTCAGAATCAAGAAAAAAAAGGGGGGACATGGAAAACAGGATGAGCCAGTGGGCCTGTCTTCAAGGGGTGAGGATTGACCTGGCAAAAGTGCATCTTAGCCAGCCCACCCATGGTGGGCGAGACCCACCCAGGGGTCCATTCGTGGGGAGCGTGGTCAGCTGGCACCAAGGTGCAGCACCCAACCCTAAGGAATCGGATGGACGACGCCCTAGAGGATGGGCAGGAGGCCCGGCTTCACTCTGTCTCTTTTCTGGACATTGGAAACCTGATAGTAATGTGGGTAATAGGATTAGTAATCCTAAAACTGCCCCTACTGGGAAAGCTTTGAAGGAAGGTTAAAAAAAAAGTTAATTTGTGATATAATTTGGTTTCAGTGTTATTTTTCAATCAGATGCATATTTGGAAAAAACAAAAGGGTACTGAAATTCCTTAATTTTGTTAAATCTGGATTCTTGGCATCATGCTGGTGTGCTTGTAATTCTTGTATTAAGAAAAACTGGCCGGGCGCCAGTGACTCACACCTATAATCCTAGCTACTCAGGAGGCTGAGATCTGAGGATCACAGTTCAAAGCCAGCCCAGGCAGGAAAGTCCATGAGACTCTTATCTCCAATAAACCACTCAAAAACCGGAGATGACACTGTAGCTCAAGGAGTAGAGAGCTCTCGCCTTGAGCTGAAGAGCCGAGGGACAGTGCCCAGGCCCAGGGTTCAAGCTCCACGACCGACCAAAAAAAAGAAAAGAAAAGAAAGAAAAACTGCCATTTGAGTGACTGGCTAGGGATGGAGAATTCCCGATCACTATTGTGTGTGGGGGCTACAGGCATGTATTTTCAAAACTGTACAGACAGAATTTGTTCAGAGATTGTTGTAGCTTAAATCAGTCATAAATCCAGCCACGAGAAAATAGAGAAGCCACATTTTGAGAGGTCAGATTTTGGAGTCTTTATTGGAACGCTAGTGGTCTGTCTGCAGGTGACCAACAACAAAGACCTATAGGCAGCAAGTAAACTTAACCCAGTTAGGAAACAGATCCATGAAGGCCAGAGAGAGAAGAACGAACAAAACAATACCAGCAAGCCAATTCAGCTCCAGCTGGAGAGCTGGACTGGAATGTCATGGTGACCAGCAGCCAGGAGACAGGACAGGAACACAGAGACACGGGCCACGGCATCACGACGTCTGGGCCGGGCTGGGCCTAAACAGGGCCAGGGCCGGAGGCAGGGTCACAGGAAATTCCCAGTCCCGGGCACTGGACTGACAGGGCTAGTGACCTATCAGCCAGATGCCCGCCCTGCCTCCGGGAATTCAGGCATGCCCATCACCTGGGAGGTGGGACTTCCCCTTCCCCCACCAAGAAGACAGGATACTCGACCCTCCTATATACCAAGTGGCCAATATGGTGCAGGCCAGACTCAGTCTCCCTACTTCAGGATGCTTGCAGATTTCAAGAATCTGAACATGTGGTGTCATCTGACCTCAGAGTGGCTTCAGACAGGGGTAGGACAGAGTGGTTCATACCGGGTGTTGAGTGGAAAGACTCCTGTTGCTGTCCCTGATGGCTGTACTCCCAACCTGGGTGTATTTGCTCTGCCAGAGACAGGCTGGCGGGAAGGTTTGGGGTCCTGACTCACACAGCCAGTGTCTGCAGGCCTGGTCTTGAGAACCTGGCCTGGCCAAAGTGCAACCATACTGGATATTAAGGCCATTTTGTAAAAAGACTTTTACTGCCATATGAGCTCAGGTTCCTGGAAAAACCACATGACTGCAACCACTCTGACCAGTAACTCCCGAGCAGCCATCAATCAGTAACTAGCAGGAGAGTAAAGCTCCAGATGTGTCTTAGATAGCATGGTTAACATACTTTGCTGCTTAACGGCTTAGC